AAAGAACTCCATCTGGTCATAAGGGACAGATACAGGTAGAGCTGGGCTTTTGGATCGTGTCGCCTCCAGGGGGCAGATTCATAGGAGCACCCGTCAGCCTTCCCTAGGCTGCCCGCTGCGACGGGACCTTGTGTCCCAGCAGTCGAAGACTCGGGTGTAACACACACACACACACACACACACACACACACACACACACACACGTCTCTTAGTAACTGTTTAAGCTTTAACCTGACTCCTTCAGTTGCTGTAACAGAACCAAGCACAATTTAAAAGAACTTCAGCCGGTCATAAGGGACTCACTGCCCTGACCGTCGGCTGACAGTCATCCCTCCCTAAAGCTTGTTATTTTCTGCTGGCGTTTATCTAGTGGCACATTCAATTTTCCTCAGCAAAATTCACCTTCAATGAAATAAGTTGCCAGTGTACATCTGGGTTTTTATTAGCTTGAAAGTTGATCATTTGGTCTTTAGATCATTAAGGTCTTTAGAGTAATTGGGCAAACTGCTTTCAAGAGTAACGCATTTTTTGTGGGTTTGTTTCTTCGCTTTCTCAAACTAACTATGCGAACCATGGCCATATGAAATGGAGTGCAAATGCCCTTATATTGCCAGGAGTGCATCTGTATTTCCATTTATTCCAGAGCTAAATAAGCAAATAGTACAAAACAGGGATGTTATAGAGCCCGGAGTTCAGGTACCTCAGCATCCCAATGCAGGCAACTTAGGTTGTGTAATCACTTTGCTTTTTTCTAGCACCTCTCACACAAAGATGTCAAAACATTTCACACCCATTAATGAACTGATCCTCCCCTAGTCCCTGCAAAGTAAGTGAGTGTCACTAGGACATTGAGTGGGCTTTTGCTCATATGGCCAGCTGGGGTATCCATCCGAGCTGCAATGTCAACACAGCTAGGCTGTGTCTACACTGGGCCACTTATTCCGGAAAATCAGCCGCTTTTCCGGAATAAGCTGTGAGCTGTCTACACTGGCCCTTGAATTTCCGGAAAAGCAACGACGCTCTACTGTACAAAATCAGCTGCTATTCCGGAAAAACTATTCTGCTCCCGCTCGGGCATAAGTCCTTATTCCGGAACACTGTTCCAGAACTCTACTGTACAAAATCAGCCGCTATTCTGGAAAAACTATTCTGCTCCCGCTCGGGCATAAGTCCTTATTCTGGAACACTGTTCCGGAAAAGGGCCAGTGTAGACAGCCCAGTAGTCTTTTCCGGAAAAAAGCCCTGATCGCGAAAATAGCGATCGGGGCTCTTTTCTGGAAAAGTGCGTCAACATTGGCCACAGACACTTTTCCGGAAAAAGGGCTTTTCCGGAAAAGCAGCCTGCCAATGTAGACGCTCCTTTTCCGGAAAAACTGAAAACGGAATAGTATTCCGTTTTAAGCAGTTCCGGAAATTCATGCCAGTGTAGACACAGTCCTATTGTAGCATGCTAGCAGGTGAGTCTACCCATCTGAGTTGGGGTTTGCTGCCAACGGCAGTGTGGACATATGCAACATGATCTATACAGATTAGTGAGTGAACTGGGAAAAGAAGACAGGAATTCTCTTGATTCCTTCCTCTAGTGACCACTAGATCAGATAGTCTTTAAGGTGCTTCTAGACTAACAAAACATGTAGATGGTGTCATGAGCACAACCCACTTCCTCAGATGAATGGAGTTATTAAAGATCCAGTTCCAAAATAAATAGGGGGTGGGGGAGAAGGAAAGGAAAAAGGGGAGAAAAAGTCAATTAGGGTATGTCTACACTACAGCACTAATTCGAACTAACAATTCGAATTAGTTAATTCGAACTAAGCTAATTCGAACTAGTGCATCTTGACCTAAAAACTAGTTCGAATTAGCATTTTGCTAATTCAAACTAGCATGTCCACATTGAGTGGTCCCTGAACCAAAGTTAAGGCTGGCCAGAAGCAGTGCCGGCAGGGCATCAGGTTAGGACTTAGAGCGTGGAGCTGCTGTCTCAGGCTAGATGAGGGCTGTGCTTAAAGGGACCCGACTCCCACCCTGGACAGACAGTTCTCAGGGTTCCCTGCTTGCTTGTCTACCTCAATGAGGGACAGCAAAGCAGTCCTGGCTTGGAGTGCCCACACTCGGCACATCACAGCACTCGGCCATCAGCCCAGCTGCACTTGCTGTAGGCTGCCATCCAGGGGGGTCAATCGGGGGGGGCTGCAGGGGAGGTTCCACCCTGAGGAGCCTGCAGAGCCACCCCAGTCCCCCCCACTGGGGGCTCGTGCCCCATTCCTCCCTCACCTCCTTCCACTTACCCCTCCCTAGCCCCCCTTCCTGATGTAAAAAATA